TATTTCACAGCACACTCCCTATCAGGGCTTTTCAGTGACTGGTTACATTAATTATGAATAGATAGATAGAACCGGACTAACGTGAAGCAGACCGAGGTAGACTTTGAGCTTACAAATGGCGCTTGACCAGCCGCTATTAGTCCATACCTCATTAATGATCTGCCTCCAGACCTATGTGCCTAACCCACCCTGTCAACTTTCGCTGTGGGAGGAAACACGGAGTACCCGGAGAAAACCCACGACTTTCAGTAGAGCGTTGACTTTTTACTCTTTTCACACGAGGACTGGGTTCCAGTCACATTGAGAAGTTCTCACTGAGATTTGAACCTACGGTCTTAGAGGTGAAAGGCAAGTGCGCTAACCACTTCGCCACCGAAGCCCCGTCAGCCGACAGCGTCAGGAAATGTACAAGATAACTACCAGCACAACATCAGCACATGACAACCTCAACCTGCCTCGTCAAGCATAATTTATTTTTTGTGGTGTTATAGTGTTGAGTATATGGTAAACTTCCTTGCGGGTGGTACCCTTATATCCGCGCAGCTTTTTTGCAACTCTGTCTGACTATGTCATCTTTTTCCAGGTATTCGATCCCAGCGCGAAGCATTCATCAGCTCAATAGCGAAGACAGCATTGGATTGCGTCTTGTTTTGCTTCGAGCAAAAAACTTGCAAATCTTTCAATTATGCTGATTATACCTCTGGCAGGAATGGCGAGGAGAATTGTGAATTACACAATGAAATCAATAATGATGACGGAAATTCACTGCAATTTCTCAAAGATGATAGATACACCTTCTATCAGATACCTAGAGCATCACACGAACAAGAAAACAAAAAAAAGACAGACTACGGGATTGAAATTTACTTGTTGGTACAGGAAGATAGATCCTTTACCAACAAGTAAATTTCAATCCCGTAGTCAGGCTATTTTCTATCCAACAATGGGAACTACGAGCTTGTTTACTTAGTTATACATTGTTTTTACCAATTTATAATTTTTATCTGTTCTTCTTACACCTTCTATCAGATCCCTGGAACATCACCTGAATTAGAAAACACACAGACAACAGAAAATGCAACTGAACAGGTGTTTCAAAATGGAAATTTCGAATGTAAATTTTTTACATTTATTTAGACCTATAACCAGGAGCAGTTGCGATAAATCCAACTATAGGCCTTCTGGCAGGAATGGAACCTATACGGCCCTGCGATTCCGGTGCAGCGCTTTAACCAACTAAGCTATTATAATTTTTTATCCCTAATTCTTCTATAGTCATCAGCAAAATCGCTTAGTATAAAGTAACCCATGCACTCAATGCGAGCAGGCGTTTTTATTGCGGAAGTTGCATGCATTCGCTTTCTGGCGTTAGTTATACAGCAGTATATTGTGCATGCTCTACTTTGTTACAGCTAATTCGTTTAACAATTTACTTGAATGAACATAAAGTGAGAGTTGACAGTTTTCTGATACATACTGAACAAGTACTATATATACATGCAGTTGTTCAACATTTCGTTTTAGGCAAACACACCTTCACTAAACAGAAGTTGTCTTGACCATTTTAACCATGGTAGTAAAACATCGGGTTATTACACCATCCTTGATTTGAAAGAAAAGGCTCGCACAGTATATTGTGATATGGAATCCGAACCGGGATCTGTTTGGACACTCATCATGTCCTTCACAAGAGAAAACAAAGATGTCAATTCATTCAGATCGAAAGCAATGTATGAACGTTCCGCAACGAACCCTAGCACTCCAAATTGGATCAAGTACCGAATGAGCTACTCAGTAATGCATCATGTAAAGAGGACAACTCACTGGCGAGTTACATGCAGTTTTCCGCAATATGGTGTCAACATCAACATCGACTACGTCCGAGCCGCGTTCGCTGATTTTGATCTCATGGGAACATTTTGGAGGAAATGCAAGAAAGTGAGTTACATAAGTGTCATGGAACAGTCCTGTTTAGAATGTACGGCACACTGGTCGCAGGGTAATGTCAGTTCACCACATATCGCTGCTGATGATGAGGTTGTTTGTGATATAAAAAGTGATAAAAGTGGAAACAACTATTTTGGTGCGTACGAAAAATACAGTGCCACATTTCGATGTACAGAAAATGCAACTTCAACAACGAATTACTGGTTTGGTTCCTATGTTTGATAAGATCAGACTGCACGCGACGCAGCCTCAGTGAACTACAGAAGTTGAACAATTTGTGTGGAACTCTTGGATATTGACTGCATTACAAGAACTATATATTTCAGTATTATTTAGATTTGATACAAGCTAATGTAGCATATTATATCGTAATTTTTTGCACGAATTAAAGCTGGTTTACACTATCAATGTTTCTGTGAGCACATGCGCAGTAGGAATTTTGGGTATATAGGTAATTTGTAAGAAATGTTTAAGAGAACTGACTCGCTGTTCAAAACTGAGTCAGTTCCCTTCAAAACTTTTGAATTTATCAATGCAAAATTCCTACATAGGTTTTGATAGTGTATAAGGACCACGAAGACTCGTAGCTTAGAGAATCATATATAGTTATGTAGATTATCATATCTTATGGATTGCAATGGAATATTTGGTCTGTTGGTTTGAATGGTAGGATGGTAGAATATATTAATATCTTTACTTTTATTATAGTGAAATCCTATCGCTATATTAAATCTTGTAGTAACGTGGTGTCTCGAATTCTATTGTTCTTTGAGGTAATTTATCATAGCTGTATACCCTCGGAAACGACATATAGCAAGCACGACAAAACAGCTAAAAATGTTTCAAAGCATCCAAACTGGAGTTGAGGACTTGACACTTGTACGAATTATTTGAACCTTTATACAAAATTAATTTGCATGAATCATTGCTGCATTATAGGTAGTGTTTATATGTTAACTGTCAAGGTTGCCAAAAGACGAAAAACATGTCGTGTTTTATACATAGGACAAAAGCTTTTCGCTTTAAACAAAGCCTGCAGAGGGACTCATAAACATCCATCGAAACTAATTTGTTTTATTCAATGCCATCAGAAAAGGCAATTAAAATGCTTTTATCCAAATAGGGTCTCGTTGGGTTTTTTAGGTGCACGAATTTGAACAGCGCGAATTTCGGAAATCCAAATTTGTGATTTATGACGCATGGCGAGTCAAAGTTTTTGACGAGGATTGAGCGTGCATGGTAATTGACTGTAACGGCTTCATGGAGAATAAAAATGTTTACAATTTTCGGAGTGTCTATTGTTTTGTGTTTCATGGACCCCCCCCTGCTTTTTTGCAAGGACGTAATATTGCATGCATGGTAGTATAAATATTATTTTTCATGTGAGACACGAGATTATTCCTGTCATGCACTTGTGCCAGATGTGGTCTATACTTTCGTGACATTCTTAAGCACTTAAAAGCTGTTAACATAATCTTCATCATTTAGTGAAAACAACAAATATTTTATCAGCAAATATTTTGCAATCTTAGATAAACAAACTTATTATAATAAAACTGTAATGTCTTCTCAATTACGTCATGCAGTATGTATATAAGCTGTTTGAAGATGCCATATAGTTGGCAACAGGACTGGCCATCGTTCGCTCAACGAAACCTTATAATCAATATTACTCGAGTATCATGATTTTCGACTCCATTCAAAGCAAACTATTCTGGACGGTGTTGCTATACTACTTATCCGTAATCCTGGGTGTAGCTTTTAGGAGAGAAGCAAATGGACAAGCTCAAATATTTTTTCGAATCAAACAAGGTATACATATAGAAAATACCATTCAACAATTTGATTAATTTTGGAATTTATGTAATGAAATTTGGCGACATATAATTGCGAGTGCAGAAACCGAACCACTTGAAAGTATAAATAAACCTGACAACTTCAGATCAAATTTTTATATTGTTAATGTTGTTTGTTCTCAGGAAGAATAATTTGTGGTATCCAAATTGAGTCAGCTATAACTTGCTAAAAATACTATCCAACAACCCCCAAGGTTAAAAATATTTTAGCCGTTGATAAGTTCAGAATATCAGCAAATGACTGGACTTCAGTTGCACACAAGATTAATAGATAAGATCGCGTGTTGCCGTTTTTTTCATCATCTCTGACATTTTTTTCAGGCGTTCGATCACAGCGCAAAGTATTCATCGGCTTAAGAGCGAAGACATCAATCCATTGCGCAGTATTTTGTCTGGACGAAAAAACCTGCAAATCTTTAAACTATGCTGAATATACCTCTGTCAAAGATGGTCAGGAGAATTGTGAATTACACAATGAAACCAAGAATGATGACGGAGCATTCCTGAAAGATGATAGATACACCTTCTATCACATACCTGGAGCATCACACGAACAAGAAAACAAACAGAAGACAGAAAATGTAACTGAACAGGTAACTGATGAAGGATTTTGTAGATGGAAATTTCGCGCAAAAATTTCATGCATTTATTTAGACCTAAGGGACTGGTCATAAAGTAACTGGGTGGGCTGGAGGTAAATCACAAATTTTGCCAATAAGTTTGGTGACCCATCTTAGAATGTACACAAAAATTTCAAAGCCCATCTAATCTTACCAAATTTATTTCATGACCCACCCACCCAATCTAAATTGGGAAAATACACTTTTGTAATAAAAAAAACTTGCAGGTATGAACATTGTAAACATACACCGGCACTGTATTGACAATAATTCCACCAAGCTTGACCAACACATTCATCACCAATTACGATACTGGGCTGCTCTCCAGTTGGTTGTATTCAATTCTTGTTGTTGTATAAAACAAAGTACTGGCTTCAATAGCATCATTTCCATTTGACATTTTGGATAGTTTTGTTTACTTTTATTATTAATATCTTTATATAATATATAATTAACATGGGTTTTTGTTTGGTGGCCCAACCGTGGACATACAAAAAAATTGGCGGCCCATCGAAACTGCCCACAAATTTTCCATGGCCAATCCCAAATCACTCCAGCCCACCCTAGCAGTTACTTTATGACCGATCCCTAACCAGGAGCGGCTGTGAAAAATGCAACTATAGGCCGTCTGACAGGAATCGAACCTGCGATTCCGGTGCATGCAGTTGTCTGTAGCTGAAAGATATGCACCTTTTAACAGATACCTGGAGCATCACACAGAGCAGGTATCTATCTTGCATGCCTTATACCAGCAAGCAAATATCATCACGCTCATACGGAATTTCCTCTTTAATTGTTAAGAACGAAGGAAAAATGTAGGAAATTCATTATTTTAGCGGAAGAATGATTCCGCCCATTTAGTTATTTCAATCCTTTATTGGTTCATTCATTCATTCATTCATTCGTTCGTTTGTTCACGAAGTTACTCAGAAAGGTGTTTTTGTAGCGACAGTTACAATCGTTTTTTAGCGTTGGTTGGTCTTCGTAGTTTACATAGATGAGACGGTCAATTCGATTAACGATTAAAATGAATCTACAACATCATAAACAAAAAGTGAGTTACCAGTTTCTGATACACAAAACAAACAATTGTTGTTTTAAATTTCCGTTTAGGCACACACACCTCCCTTAAACAGAAGTTGTCTTGACCATTTCAACCATGGTAGTAAAACATCGGGTAATTACACCATCCTTGATTGGGAAGAAAAGGCTCGCACAGTATATTGTGATATGGAATCTGAGCCGGGATCCGTTTGGACTCTTATCATGTCCTTCACGAGAGAAAACAAAGATCTTAAAGCATTCAGAAAAAGAGCAATGTATCAAAGCGCAGCAAAAAACAAAGACGCTCCAAATTGGTCCGCATACCGAATGGGTTCGTCATCATTGGTTGCCTTAAAGAATATGACAACTCATTGGCGAATTACTTGCAGTTTTCCTCAATATCGTGTCGACATCAAAACTCACTACGTCCGAGCTGTGTTCGCTGATTTTGATCTCTTGAGTGAATTTTCGGGTGAATGCAAGAACGTGAGCTACGTAAGTGTCATGGGGCAGTCTTGTTCGAAATGTACCGTACAGTGGACGCAGATTGATAACTTTACCCCGCATATCGCTGCCATGCAAAACGACTCAGCTTGCGACATAAAAAGTGATAACAGTGGCTACTACTATTTTGGTGGGTACTACACTTACAATCCCAAATTTCGTTGTACAGAAACTCCAAAATCAACAACGAATTACTGGTTTGGTTCTTATGTTTGATATGACTGCATGACACGAACTACAAAAATTGAACACTATGGAACTCTTGAATATTGACTGCATTGCAGTAACAATATTATAATATATCAGTGTTATTTATGGCTTTCACGCAAACTGATGTAGTATTATATATATCGTAAATGTAGACTGGTATTGCGTGTATCTGTATATGCATGTATACGCAAAAACATGGGATTATCATAGCTATAGATTGCATGAAGTGTTTGCATGGGTATATAGCGCGGGTTTGAATCGCAAATATAAGATTGTATACTATTGTAGAAAAGGGACGCTAGAATTCGTGGCAACTCTTTTTCTTTTTGCTTTTATTCACACTTCGTTTTTTCGCATATCTAGCGCAAGATAGCTTGTATAAATATATTAAATATTGTAGTAACATGATGTCTCGAAAATTCTATTGTTGTTTTTCGAAGTAATTGAAACCCTGTATTACACACGCATACAAAAGTTCAGCATGTAGGCTATAGGACGACACAGCTGGAAATTCCTTTTGCTCCATTTGCAGTGATAAATAGTACAAATCATCTAAGCCATTCATATAAAATTTAAAGCATCTTTTCGAGATTCACTGGATATAAATCATTGTTATACGCTAAAGTCCCGGTCAAACGAGGATGAGAGTTGGCAGTCACAAATTGCTACAGGGGACATTTCAAGCTCTGGAAATAAAGGTTTGATGTGTGTTCCGACTATATGTTTTAACTTAAATAAAATACATGATAGTGTTGGGAAAGCATTAATTATATAAGAATAGATATAACCAAGGTCCCGAACTCTGAGCACTCCCATCCCCGTTTGATCCAGCTAAAGTGAAAGGGTCGTTGCTACAAGGGATGGACGATTCAAGGTATTCAAGATGTCGGCTATTTTTCAAGATCGTTAAAACGCAAAAGAATCAATTAACAACTATGCACTTATAAACAATCTTAAACCTTACTCTAAATCTCACCCTAAATATAACCATGCACAATATTAACCTATAACATTAACCCAAACTGAAGCGAATTCTGAGGATACATTTTGAACTTGAAAATCCCCCTGTCGTTCATGCCTTTTAGCATATTAAGCAGGACGTAAATTGGCAAATGTCAAGATGGCCAAAACACACCTTTGAAAAGACGCACAAAAGTCAACATGCATTGTGTTGTTTTATGCATATGATTCAAACAGATTGCAAAACAGATTGGAGTATTTTGACTCAAAACTCAAGTAAAACAATGCATGCACCCATACACATTCAGTGACTCAAAATTTTTAGCAAAACTATACTCAAATTTATATGTAAAAAATTAAATTTTCTACATGCAGAACAAATGTCATAATTTACTCCGTAAATAACATTAATGTTTGAATACGAAGCTGTTTTCTATGGCATGCACCCATGTAAAATTTCAACTTTAATTGACATTGTTCAAACTATAATTATAATTATAATACAATAGTTTTAGTGTGTATACTTTGGCGTTTAAATGTAGTTAGCGATTATTTGTGTATACTGTGCATGATAAAACCTGCGGGCCTGTATTTTTATTGCGAATTTACTTCGAATGATTCTCACACAAAATAAAACGGTCTTATAATTAGGATGTGTTAAAACATTGACGTCTGTAGTTCAGTAAAGCCTATAGTTTACACGAGCAAGTTTTATTTTGGCAAGTTTCACTTTGACAATTTTTATTTGCTGGTGTAAAATGTGGCGAAGTTTTCATTGACAAGTGCATGTATACTTGTTGGAAAACTGGCATGCCAACTTTTCAACAAGTATAGTTGTTAAAGAAAAACTGCCATATGTCGCTAAAATTGTCCGTGTACACAATGACATGTCAAGAAAAATGTGACAAGCAAAACATTGTTGGCTGTTAAAACTTGCGAAGGAGAACTTATCAAAGAAAAAATATTTACCATTCATATAAACGAGCATGTTCAATAGACCTTAATTCTTATAATGACGTCAAACGCGAAAAACAAGTCGTTAGCGTCTAAAGTCTGGTTTCCATATGGTCGTAACGGTCGTAAAGATTGAGTCACGATCTTTCTCATCAGCCGAAATACAACATTTTAGAAGTGAAAACACGTGGAGTGATTATAACTAGAGAATACTTATTATTTATATGTGGTTTACAAGTATAAACTATTATAAACTGGCCGTTGAGAAAGATCGCGACTCTATTTTTACGACCATTACGACCATATGGAAACCAGGCTTTACAAGTGTTTTCCCGCGTTTGACGTCTATATATAAGAAAGTCTATTTCACAAAATTTGCCAAAAGAAAATTTTTCGCGTAAAGTAGGTCCTATATATATATATATATATACAGGGTGTATAAAAAAAACTGAACAGATTTGAAATTGCTCTCAATTTCGCAAAACACCTATTTGTATCCGTTTTTTATATGTATAGCTTCGTTGGGTACTTATAATGTAGAACAATGAAAAAAATTTCTCGAACTCAAATTTTGTGAACCAGGGGGGGTGTGTGTGTGTCTTTTCCAACAAACTAAAAATGGCTCGCGCACAAAATTTAAAAGCTGCAGGCATATGTTGAGTTAATAGATGGAAAATTTGTCGGGTTTTTAATTACTGTAAAAATTTCCAGACAATTTGGTTCAGTTTAAGCCCCTTAACTATTCACGCAAAGTTACATTTTTCCTAAAAATCAGCTATTTGCATGCTTAATTAATGCATTTGCCTAATTTGCATATGTCAGCAATATGCAAATTAGGTAAAGGCATTAATTAAGCATGCGAAAGGCTGACTTTTTAGAACAAAATGAATAGTTAAAGGGCTTAAACTAAACCAAATTGTCTGAAATTTTGGACAGTAATTAAAAACCCGACAAATGTTCCATCTATTAACTCAAAATATGATTACAGCTTTTAAATTTTGTGCGCGAGCCATTTCTAGTTTGTTGGAAAAGACACCCCCCCCCTGGTTCACAAAATTTGAGTTCGAGAATTTTTACATTATAAGTACCCAAAGAAGCTATATATATAAAAAACGGATACAAATAGGTGTTTTGCGAAATTGGGAGCAATTTCAAATCTGTTCAGTTTTTTTTATACACCCTGTATATATATATCCTCATCAGTGTAGTGCTAGCCTGCGAACAGGCTCTCAAGCTGAATTGAGAGCCTGCATCGATGACTAATGAATTTGAATATCTGCGTCTCAAATCGTGACGCGAAATTCTCATTGGTCAGATGCTATAATTTATATGTTTCCGCTGAGCTCTATATATGTCAACTGCTGAAGCACTATGCATAAAAACACATTAACTGATCAAATTGGTCTTGGCCGTCTTATCTCAAAGCACGAAATGTTCTGTTTTGAGAAAACAGTATTTAAAACATTTGAACTTTTGCTTGAATATCTTATATTTCGAAAAACAGTATAAACTGTACGGTCTAAATTTAGTTTGCACGGTCTAAATTTAGTTTGCACAAAAGTTGTAAACAACACCATATAAGGATAGACATTCCATATTTGGAAAAACGAACGTTACGGGGCAGATATTCAAATCCATTAGTCATCCATGCAGGCTCTCAATTCAGCTTGAGAGCCTGTTCGCAGGCTAGTGTAGTGCTATATATATATATATATATATATATATATATATATATATATATATATATATATATATATATATATATATATATATATATATATATATATATATATATATATATATATACTGGGTGGCGCAAAAAAAGGTATAACTGTTTGATTTAGTACAGCGAACAATCTATAAGGGTTACATCCCTGAAATAAACGTAGCTGTATTCATAATAGTCTAACTTAAATTTTGAGCTATAGCATGTTTATTTACGTGCAATATTGACTGGGATATCGCCAAATAAAATTTGAAACGAAGTTTTGAAAATCTGACAAATTGGCTAAAAATGGCCTATTAAACTGTTTTGATAAATTTTAGAATTTCGTCAGACATATTCGCTTGTATGAATTTAATTTGAATTGAAACGTGTAACGAATGATTTTCCTTATTTATTTATTTGTTTTATTATCATTAGAAAAGCAACAAAATTTCGAAAAAGATGGCTCTTTTAATTAAGAATTGCTTCGCAGTATTCCATGTCCCATAGCTACAGGGAATTAAATTAGATCAACAACTGAACAATTTGAGACAGCTTCGTGAAGCGATTATTGCTGATTGCCATAACTTTGACCAGCAAATAAATCCAACGTTAATTCGTTCGATAGTATGGTCACACGTGCAAGAATATAGTTATTTAATTTTCCACGATATACACAGCCAGAAATCTCACAGGCCTGTCGCAAGCTGTTGATTTTACCGGCTTGCGGCAAGTTGTCAACAAGTCGCGACAGGTCTGTTGGTTTCGTCAGGCGGTAACAGGCTTGCGGGAACAGGTCTGTCGCAAGCTGTTGACAACAGAGCCGTAGCGACTTGTTGAAACAACCCGCTACAAACCTGTTACTAACAAGAGATAACAGGTCTGATAGAACAACTTGCAGCAAGTCTGTTGAAATCAACAGGTCTGTTCCAACTTGTTCCAACAGACCTGTCGCGAGTTGTTTTTGTCAAGTCTGCAGCAAGCTTGTTATCAGACCTGCGACAGACCTGTCCACAACAAACAATTTTTGTCCTGTCACAACAAGTTTCAACAAGCCTGTTGTTGGGAAACAAATCGAAAATGTGAGTAAAGACTGTGGTAAAGAGAAAAATCGCACGAAATGGACACGTCCGGCTTCACTTTCTCATTCAAGGCAATATTAAATCACATGCAGAGGAGATGAGGCTATGTGCACACGGTAACGTAAACACTATCAATTTACAACAGAAGCTGTAGTTTATTTAATATATTGGAGATATATTTTCCTTTGGATCATGTGAACAGGGTGTCAAAACGATTAAAGGAAAAAAAGGTTTTGAAAACGCTGGAAAACGACGCCCGTGTGAACATATCCTAAGTATCTACTCTGTGATTAAATGCAAAAGCCGCTGTTTTTAACTTTTTATATTTTTAAAAAATAATTCCGATTTCCAAAATCCAAATTCCAATTTGCTGACGTGTGCTATCGTTATATTTCTTTAATCTGATTGGATAAAGCCGTGTGCACACGTCATCATTCCTCGTTGCAATTGGACGAAATATTACAAACATATCAATCACGTAATCATGTTTATAGTTGTTTTTGAATTTTGAGCCAAACAAAATTTCAACAACTGCCTCAAACAAAATCAAACAAGTTCAAAGCTGTTTTGATTTTTGAAGAAACTGTGGCAATGAGAATACAAGATCTAGAGCTTAAGAAATGAAAAATACATGAGCAACCGAGTGTTCACTGCAACGTTCTTCATTGTTCAAATGAATATGAAATTCGTTATATACAATGATTTCTTTCCAATTTCAAGTGAAATCAGCGAGCGAGGAAGACGCCTTATTGAAGCTTTGTGTTATTGTATGTACTATTTTGAAGAAAAATATGCAAGTAGGTTGTCATATTTCGGTCGTACTTAAAGACCAATTAATTTTGAAAATTGTTTACGATAAGAACCTTTCTTGAATTTGTCGTATTTTTTCGGCTGTTTTGCTCAAAAATTATCTCGCAAGTTTGTTTATAAGTGTTCATATGAAAGTCTGGCTATTTCACGAAACACTACAACCGAAATATGGCAACCTGTTTGGCCGTTTTTTTGTTCAAAATAGTGGATACACAAGCTTCATAAGGTGCTTTCCTCGGTTTGCAACAGGTCTGTCGCAAGTTGTTGAAAACAACATTGCTGCAGCTCTGTCAACAACTTGCGACAGGCCTGTTGAAAACAGCATTGCTGCAGCTCTGTCACAACAGCTTCTAACAGACCTGTTGAAAACAGCATTGCTGCAGCTCTGTTACAACAGCTTCTAACAGACCTGTTGACAGGCCGTTGCGGACCTGTCAGAACAGACAGGTACAAGGCGAGCGAACGCATCCAGATATCGGCTTGTTGACAACAGGATTTAACAGATCTGTTGCAGATTTGTTCCGACTTGCGCGTTTCTGGCTGTGTACGCGTTATTTACTGCCGTTGTGTTCTTCATATATCGTTAATTCCTTTACTGGTATTTAATAGGCTATTTTCAGCTAATTTTGGAACGTTTTGAAATTGCATATTCAAATTGATTTACCAATATCTTGGGTAATACTAAACAAAAATGCATGTGTTATACATCAAAATTTAAGTTAGGCCTTCCTGGATAGGATAACATTTATTTGAGGAACGTAACACTTATAGTTTTTTCGCTGTACTAAATCAAACGCGTGAACTTTTTTTTGCGCCACCCGGTATATATATATGTGTATATATATATATATATATATATGTGTATATATATATATATATATATATATATTATATATATATATATATATATATATATATATATA